CGAGCATTTTTGCTCCTTTTTTAGAGGATTAAGTTCTAGAAGGCTCGCGTAATTTTTGTTTTGTTGATGAAGCTGTGTCAAATATGTTTCCGCTCACCCGTCCAGTTTTTAAAGCCTTCGATTGGGTAAGTGGAGTCAAAGTTGTTTCGAATCTAGTGGTTAATATGCGGGGGGACTAGCTTCCATAGTATTTTCCTGAGCTTGTGCTTGTGAATATGGGTCCATTAAGCTTTCCGAGATCCTAATTTCAGCAAAATACAACAGCTTTGTTAAGTGTAGCCGGTACGTAGTTAGAGTTGGATTTCTTCCTCCAACTTTTTATTTACATATGTAGCTCTTTTGCTGTTCAACTCTGTCCTTTTTTGTCCATTTTCCCTTTTTCTTCCTTTTTTCATTTTTTTTTCGGTGGAGAATTGTTTTTCTTTATTTCAGGTTGAAATTCGCCCAATCATGAAGGTAGCTCTAACCTACGATCATCGTCTGATCGATGGCCGAGAGGCAGTTACATTCTTACGCAAGATTAAAAGCTCAGTCGAGGATCCACGCACAATCCTATTGAATATCTAATTTACTTCAATTTTCGATCCTAATAAGCTATGCGTTAGCTTAGTTTCGTTACGTTGAAAAGCTAGGTCAATAGAAACTACTGTGTCGATGCGTTAATTTTTTAGTTTTTTAGCAGTCTAGTGCGACGAAGTCTTTTATGATATAATTAATAATGGCAGTTAATAAGAACATGTGTTGTAGCTGCGAATCTTCAATGCTTGTTTTCATTTTCGAATATAGGCACTGTGTTATTATTCGTGTGGAATTCAGTTTGTGATAAATTTGTATTTTCGTATTGAACTTGCGTTTAAGGTTCGATTGGCTTAGCCATTTGTACTGCTTCTGCGGTTTTTTTTTCGATAGCTTGGTTGCATCTACCGCGATGACTGAACCAGTGAGCTTTTCTCCATAAAGAATGTAGTGAATTAAAATGATTTGCGCAGCGGTTGCATGAATCTGGAAAAAGAGTCATCGTTTGGATTTACAACAGATTACGAATTCGAAATTTTCATACGTCTTTGAGAGTTGCTTTGAATGTCTGTAAGGTCTCTAGATCCTTCCGCTGTGGTACTGTTGAGGTTCATCAGAAGGAGGGTTCACGACAAGACGAAGGATCAGAGCGGGGTAATAATTGCTATGTGGGGAGATAGTGGGCCCCTCGGAGAGGCCGGACGGCAACAACGCGAAGTTGGCAAGCGAAGGATTGACCTCGGTCCGATCTCAGCATAGCCCTATCCAGCAATCTATAATTGCACCGCTATCGACGCGGCACGCCCACCGACTATCTAATCACTCGCCGCAGGTCTATACGTGGCGAGTGATTAGATAGCAGAGAGAGCGTAGCGTTGAAGAGGGCACAGCGATGAGAGTCGCATCAATGCTCAAATCAACGGGCAAGGAAGGGGTCCCATTTCTCGGGTTCTGGGCCGTTTCTCATGGTTTTTCCTTCTTTCGTGTACCACTCACCATCCTTAACCTAATTTGAAATGGTTGCTTTTGATCGTAATTTCTGCCTTTTAAGCGCCTCCGGCGATCTGCTTAGCCACATATGCCAATTTAGTGAAGTTCTGGAGGAAAGATGTGTGCGCTCAAAGGTGGTTTAGGGACGACACTGTGAGCTTGAAACTTAGGGGAGCCCAACTTTCCTGTGGACTTTCAGCCTGACGCTATATTCGTCTTCTTCGTCTCTGTTCCACTTCATATCCTTGCCATCAGAGTCTCCTGTCTGGGCACTACTCTATTCTATTCGCAGTCTGATATAATGCCATATTAGATCAGCTATAAAAAAAGGCCTTAGGACGTTTTCGAGTGATCTTTTCGATTTTTTGGCCATAGATACATCTACATAAATTTTGAGGCCACGACGATGTGGACTAGCCTTGCACACTTTGGGTATAAACAAGTTCATGGCGTTGTATTCGTGTTCCTGGGTTTTTTTTAACAGGCTGGTGCATTCTAAGTGAGTTTACATCACTGACTAGCCTGAGCAGAGCTCTCACTTGAAAATGCATGGTTTTGGGGTAAGAAATCGGGGATGTGCGTGTTGGAGTCGTGCAAGGAAATTGGACGATTGAAAATCATGGAAGTTCTGAATAGGTTTCTTGGTCCACACATTAATTTCAGGAGAACCAGTAGCGATAGAAAAAACTTATTATTTTTCTTGCCTCATCTCAGTAAAGGGGTATGTGGTGCGACAGTTCATATTGCATGCATGAAGTAATCCACTTTTTTCAGGGGAGGGAAGCTCCGGGGTGGGTGTAAAAGTTTAAGCGAAATGGTTCACGCACCCCGGGGATTCCCTCCCCTTGCAAAAATTGGAATTTCTGTAGCCGGCAAGAACTGTCACACCACATGCCCCCCTTACTGGATGAGACCCTATTTCTCAATTAAGTCTG